CCTCGGTAAATATTGCCCATATGCTGTGGGTTGTTTTAAAAACCAATATGTCGCGATACGCATGTAGCTTGGTATAGTTGCCCCGGGAAACGCGAGTGCCTGGGAAGCGGAACCTGATGAAAGGGATATGAATGAAGCTGAACGTCATAGCTTTACGTCACACGCGTTACTGAGTACGATCATCTCAACTATGAATAAACATCTCATTTTTTTCATAGTTGATGAATTAATCCGACGCAAAATCCCTTCGCCTTCTATAAATGACCCAGCAGGAAGTTAGTTTCTTCCGTGTTTATCAAGTATATATGACATTAAGAAAAAAATATCTAACACGAATGTGCAAGTCATGTAGATCATTATTCTTTATGTAGCGTATATTTCATGACATTTAAAACCCAAATGAAACTATTACAGTTCAGCTTTAGGCTTGCAGTAAACATATCATAGTATGTTTCTGCAGGTGCATGACGTTTTAGCAATTGGCTAGATGTATAACTGTTCTGTGATGATTATGTATGTAAAACAATGACAGAAAATCAATCTCTCAATGTGTAATGATCATAGAAAGTAACCTATTCAATAAAGATATGCCATGTTTGCATGTAGTGAACCCCGCCATGCAATCTATGGTCCTTAAATATATACATGTTAAAATATATGTTAAAACTGCTTGATGTGACTGTCCTTGTCCCTAACCATTAGATGTGATCCTAACTTGGATGATGGTGTTTCTCTGTCCGTGTGAACCACTACATAGTGGTATATACGTTACAGTAAATGTCTATAATCAGGCAATATGTACATTTACTGAATCCCTCGTCGTGTAAACCACTACATACTTCTAAATGGTCTGCTCCTGTAGAACCACTCCAGTGTGGTATATATGTATGTGATTGTTGTTCACTACTAAATGGTGGTGTTTGTCTTCTCCTGTAGAACCACTCCAGTGTGGTTTATATGACTTTGTATATATGCGTGTTGTTCACTGCTAAATGGTGGTGATTCTCTGCTCCTGTGAACCACTGACAGTGGTATATATAATACACACAAAATGTAGGGAATATTTTGTTTTTAGGTGAAGCTACCTGAAAATACACCAATGTCTGACAATGAAAGTGATTTATGTGCTTCATATCAGGAGATATGTCTTGATGATTCGCACTATCCCCTACTTTCTTTACATAGTATATTTGCTCCTGAATGGTGGTCTTTCTGCCCGTGTGAACCACTATATTGTGGCATATGCCTGTTGTGAACAACTTAATGGTGGTCTCTCTGTCCGTGGGAACCACTATATTGTGGCATACGCCTGTTGTGAACAACTTAATGGTGGTCTCTCTGCCCGTGGGAACCACTATATTGTGGCATATGCCTGTTGTGAACAACTTAATGGTGGTCTCTCTGTCCGTGGGAACCACTATATTGTGGCATACGCCTGTTGTGAACAACTTAATTGTGGTCTCTCTGCCCGTGGGAACCACTATATTGTGGCATATGCCTGTTGTGAACAACTTAATTGTGGTCTCTCTGTCCGTGGGAACCACTATATTGTGGCATATGCCTGCTGTGAACAACTTCATTCTGGTCTCTCTGCCTGTGGGAACCACTATATTGTGGCATACGCCTGCTGTGAACAACTTAATTGTGGTCTCTCTGCCCGTGGGAACCACTATATTGTGGCATACGCCTGCTGTGAACAACTTCATTCTGGTCTCTCTGCCCGTGTGAACCACTATATTGTGGCATATGCCTGTTGTGAACAACTTAATGGTGGTCTCTCTGTCCGTGGGAACCACTATATTGTGGCATATGCCTGTTGTGAACAACTTAATGGTGGTCTCTCTGCCCGTGGGAACCACTATATTGTGGCATATGCCTGCTGTGAACAACTTCATTCTGGTCTCTCTGCCCGTGGGAACCACTATATTGTGGCATATGCCTGCTGTGAACAACTTCATTCTGGTCTCTCTGCCTGTGGGAACCACTATATTGTGGCATATGCCTGCTGTGAACAACTTCATTCTGGTCTCTCTGCCTGTGGGAACCACTATATTGTGGCATATGCCTGCTGTGAACAACTTCATTCTGGTCTCTCTGCCTGTGGGAACCACTATATTGTGGCATACGCCTGTTGTGAACAACTTAATGGTGGTCTCTCTGTCCGTGGGAACCACTATATTGTGGCATATGCCTGTTGTGAACAACTTAATGGTGGTCTCTCTGCCGTGGGAACCACTATATTGTGGCATATGCCTGCTGTGAACAACTTCATTCTGGTCTCTCTGCCCGTGGGAACCACTATATTGTGGCATATGCCTGCTGTGAACAACTTCATTCTGGTCTCTCTGCCTGTGGGAACCACTATATTGTGGCATATGCCTGCTGTGAACAACTTCATTCTGGTCTCTCTGCCTGTGGGAACCACTATATTGTGGCATATGCCTGCTGTGAACAACTTCATTCTGGTCTCTCTGCCTGTGGGAACCACTATATTGTGGCATACGCCTGTTGTGAACAACTTAATGGTGGTCTCTCTGCCCGTGGGAACCACTATATTGTGGCATATGCCTGTTGAGAACAACTTAATGGTGGTCTCTCTGCCCGTGGGAACCACTTTATTGTGGCATATGCCTGTTGTGAACAACTTAATGGTGGTCTCTCTGTCCGTGGGAACCACTATATTGTGGCATATGCCTGTTGTGAACAACTTAATGGTGGTCTCTCTGCCCGTGGGAACCACTATATTGTGGCATACGCCTGCTGTGAACAACTTAATGGTGGTCTCTCTGCCCGTGGGAACCACTATATTGTGGCATACGCCTGCTGTGAACAACTTAATGGTGGTCTCTCTGTCCGTGGGAACCACTATATTGTGGCATATGCCTGTTGTGAACAACTTAATGGTGGTCTCTCTGTCCGTGGGAACCACTATATTGTGGCATATGCCTGTTGTGAACAACTTAATGGTGGTCTCTCTGCCCGTGGGAACCACTTTATTGTGGCATACGCCTGTTGTGAACAACTTAATGGTGGTCTCTCTGCCCGTGGGAACCACTATATTGTGGCATACGCCTGCTGTGAACAACTTAATGGTGGTCTCTCTGTCCGTGGGAACCACTATATTGTGGCATATGCCTGTTGTGAACAACTTAATGGTGGTCTCTCTGCCCGTGGGAACCACTTTATTGTGGCATACGCCTGCTGTGAACAACTTAATGGTGGTCTCTCTGCCCGTGGGAACCACTATATTGTGGCATACGCCTGCTGTGAACAACTTAATGGTGGTCTTTCTCCTTCGTGGGAACCACTACTTCACCCCAGCAATAAATTATACATGTGATGAACTCAACTGTGCCTTAGTCATATCATCCACAGCAAATTGACATCTTGAATGCCTTATTGTTAGTGTTACCATAGTCAGTTCTTTGATATTACAGTCCAATCACAACACCGTCTTTTACAAGTTTGGCATCCGAAACAACAGACATATCTTCATCATTGAGTGTTGTTATTTATTTACTCGTGGGCATGGATTTTAACTTATTGGAAAACGCCTGGAACCTATATGACTTTTTTCCCACATTGAGCTAAATTGTGATATAACTGAAATACAGCTGTACTAAGTGAAGTTATAGAGATTACTGCACGAGTGTCTGTTAGACCATTGATCTTACAACGAGTTGTTTCAAAACGTATCTAACGAGCGAAAGCGATGCATTTTGTCTATTCTCATGGTCACAGTAGCGCATACATGACCCCACTGTAATAAGTGACGTCATCCTATGCACTGCTTACTATTCATAAATAATGTGGCCCTACAGAAAGAGGTTTCCGCCATATCTGTTGATTATCAAAGCGATGATGATAATGGAAACTAGACAAAAACAAAGAACACGCTGGACGCCGAGTTAAAAGTTTGCACCTCAAATAAATTACCAAATATGTACAACAATGTTTACTCCCGTATGACATCACTACCGGTGACCGACTTTTACGAAATGGCGTGTTCACTGACAACAGTAAGCGGGATTTCCAGAGGAGGATTCTGACAATCTGCGTACTGTTATTTGTGTACCATGTTTTCCAATCCTTATGTAATAAATCGAAATAGACAGAAATGCAGATAACTACCGTCGTCGTTGTGCGTGATTTAGCGTCAGTCACACAGAACGGAAACTATTACGGTTTCTGTTGAATTTACCACATCATTGTAATGTATATATGTGTAATTCCACAATTAGTGCAACGATACTCCTCCCATAAATATTCTCAGACGCGTGATCGAGCCAATGTATGCAATAATTAGACGAAAGTAGCTCCAAAAATTCTGCACAGTGTAAAATCTGAATTTTGCTTTCCGAGCACAGTGTTCGTTTTCAAAAACTAATTTATTTCGCCTGATTTCATCTAGATAATTTGCATTGGTGACAAAGACCATTTGTCATTTGTTTCTAAAATGTATGAGGAATTCAGGGATGCATGTATAGCAGCTGAGTTTGAAATATATCTGATAGAATAGGCGTCTCATAAACGGCATTTTGTAAATACAATCCAATATGGCGGAACGTACACTTCGGCGTTCGTGTATGCGTATTTTCCAAAACATTCTAAACGATTCTGGGCTTATCAGCGACGTTGCAGAATTATCATTAGTGATTTGATACCCGTGATCACTAATTATAATATGCTATTTTTCCACTTTAATTATTCGAGTAAATATCCGATATTTAGATTTCTAAACACGCCGTGGATTGTGATTCGGCGAGATTTACGATGTACCTAATTTTCAGAAGTCACTTTCAGTAATTTTGCTTTGCCTAAAATGACAGTAAATAATAAACGTTTGATACCAGTTATCTCAAATGGGTTTTTCACCCTCAGGTTTGTAAGAAATACCTAGCTCACTCACTCACTCTGTCGATTGTGATTTGTAGAGGCAAGGCATCCGCAAGAACATCATTTGCAAATACAGAGATCAAAATTAAACATAACAATTATTATAGAAAATAAAAAAATATTTATTTCGCACCATAACACAGTTCTTTGTATAAATATATAAATAAATAGCGTGGATGTAACGAAGGCTGCTTTTTCGTAATTGTCCTAGTAGAAACCGACACCTGGAAGAACAAAAGGTACACAATTATATTCTGATAAACGGTACATTTTAAAAGCATCACACTACTTAATTTTCAAATATGTTAGTTTTGTTATTGTGTTGGCAAATTTTGAATTTGTTTATTCGTAAAGATTAAAATTGTTTAATGGGTCCCATCTACAGCCTAATTATACACTAGTTCGTGTGAGATACTATTTGTTTGTTGTTTAACGCTGTACTCAGTAATATTCCAGCTATATGACGACGGTTTGTAAATAATCGAGTCTGGACCTGACAATACAGTGATTGACATCAACCAAGTCAGCGAGCCTTACCACCCGATTCCGTTAGTTGCCTTTTACGACAAGCATGGGTTGCTGGAGACCAATTCTAACCCAGAATCTTCCCGGGACGTGAAATACTAGGGACAAAGAGAGTCATTACCCTAAAAATATCAAATGCGTAAATTTTCATTTCAAAATAAAATACACACCGTTTCCGATTCCAACTCCTCCATGAAATCCCCCCAAGCTGCCACCTTGTAGACCGCCCATAGTGCCTGCGTAGATGCCTCCTCCGATACTGCCTGCTTTGATACCGCCTGCATGTCCTGCATAGAGACCTCCATTTATGCTTCCTGTGTTATAACCGGCAACATTTCCAGGGTAGAGACCTCCTCCAATATTGCCTGCGTTTAAACCACCTACATTTCCTGCGTAGAGACCTCCATTCAACTGTCCAGCGTTTAAACCACCCACATTTCCTGCGTAGAGACCTCCATTTATCTTTCCTGCATTTAAACCACCCACATTTCCTGCGTAGAGACCTCCATTTATCTTTCCTGCATTTAAACCACCTACATTTCCTGCGTAGAGACCTCCATTCAACTGTCCAGCGTTGAAACCACCCACATTTCCTGGATGGAGACCGCCAAGATTGCCTCCATGCAATGTGCTGGTTTTGCCACTGTAATATCCGCCGACTTTGCCAGCTAACAGACCTCCATTGTAACCGGTGTGAAGTCCCTTGTGACCTCCGGTGTACACACCTAAAAGTCCAAACATTGGCAAATGTCCTCTGTAACCTCCTGTATATTTGCCGCCGCCAAACGTGCCCCCGTATAACCCGTTGTTAATACCACCAACTCCATAACCGGCGTTGTAAGGGAGTGCCAATCCATGACCACCAATCGCGTTGTAATTGTTGATAGGTTCAGCTGTAGCAGCGACAGCCAGACATATAATCATAGTGATGGTCTTCATTATGTAGAGGTCTGAAATGGAGTGGAAAGCATGAATTGTCAGATGCAGTACAAAGGTTGGATGCGAGTTACAAGAAGTTGCGGGGCATGGGGGACACTGTGGTCAGTGGCCTAGCAATTGCCATGCCAGGATACGCTGATCTTGTTGTGCAGAGTTGCGCCCCTTGCACACACCAGGAACATATGATCGTAGTGTCGAATCCCGGTTCACCCCGACTATGTTTCTGGGTTTGTGAGCACCATACCGCTTTCACCAAAAGTGGTAAACGTCAGAGACCTGCATTACTGGCTTTCCTCCCAAGTATAGCTGGAATACTTCTATATCACTACCCGATTATGAATCTAGGTATGTATCCGTCAGTTTCACTGGGAAGATGTCTTTGAAATGCATCCCATTTGACGGTCGACCCGTGAAGAGCGATGGTAGAATAGGTCTTCAGCAACCCATGCTTGCCGTAAGAGGCGACTATGCTTGTCGTAAGAGGCGACAAACGGAATCGGGGGTCAGGCTCGCTGACTTGGTTGATGCATGTCATCGTATCCCAATTGCGTGTATCGATGCTCAAGATGTCAATATCTGGATTGTCTGGTGCAAACTCGATTATTTATAGACCGCAGTCATATAACTTGAATATTGCTGAGTGTGGCGTTAAACAACAATAAAACAACTAACATTAGACGTTCACATCACATTTAGCTGACAAGACGTGTGATATCCCTGACAGACTGCCCAAAGGGTAGTTACACACAAGAGGTAGTGTGCTGATCCTATCGTAGGTTTGATTTATTGAGATAAACGTCAACTACATTTTTGGGGTTTGTTGTTTTACGCCGCACTCAGCAATATTCCAGCTATATGTCAACTACATATAGATCCTTACTGTAATGATACAATAGCATTAAGTCTAGTTGCCAGTACACCAATACTCCAATACAATTTTGAAACCCGCTTAAGCACGTATCAAATGTGATCATACACATGTATGGACGCATAGTTAAAAGGTGTAATACACTTACCAAGTGTGTGAAGATTCTTCAGGAATAGTCGATAGGTACAAAGATGATGTGACAACTGTGTGGTCTCTTTATAAATCCCCCTGAGACCAGCTGACCCGGTCCCTCCCTTAGCCCCGGGGTCGCCGCCCCACGGAATACGTCATCGATGACCATCGTGCTGCTGACACACTCAACATGTCATGTCAGCCTCGGGGCACGTGACGTACGTCGTCACAGCTCCGTCAAATACTTAGGAACACACACTGATACAAATGTGTCAAATATTGTGATTAAATCAATTACTTAATGTTAATGATAAGCTCGATCCTCCTGTCCACGAAAACGTGCTTGAAACCTATTTTATCTATCATTCTCCTATAGTAACACAGATATATGTATTTTTACACAACAAGAATGTTTGGCTCAAGTAATACAAAATGTTTCATCATTTTTTCTCAACATATCATTACTTTCTATTTCATCTTTATCTGTATTTAACAGAGACTTGCGGTGTATGTATGTATGTATGTGTGTATGTATGTATGTATGTATGTATGTATGTATGTATGTATGTATGTATGTATGTATGTATGTATGTATGTATGTATGTATGTATGTATGTATGTATGTATGTATGTATGTATGAATGCATGCATAGATAGATAGATAGATAGATAGATAGATAGATAGATAGATAGATTCTCTCATCACGTTAAGCACTATATGGCTACTCTGTGTGAAACCCAGTCTTTGTGGGCCCGCACTGATGCGGCTAGAACAGTGTTATTATTTTTCTCTTCAGATGTAATTCATCATCATTCTATATACACGTAGGATTTCCGTGTGAAATCATACGTGTCACAAGTCAAACAATAACATGCATGGCACTTGTAGATGACGTAAAGCCACGTTTGTGTATTTGGCGGTATGTGGTTTAATGTGTTGGTATGGACAGGGGCGATAACTGCTTGTGGGGTGTACGTGAAAAGCATGCGGTTTGGCGTGAAATTTAGAGGTGTGCATCTCTGTGAATGTTATAGTGAGGTACCACTGTAATCTATCCTATGATTCTGTCACGAAAATTGTAAGTAATACATTGCGTCTACATGCGTGATATCGTATATATCCGTTTACAGCCCGAAAGGCTTGTGTTCAGTATTGTTTCAGTTGTAACCCGCTATTCTGCTGTACTTAACAACGCCAGTCATGGGTGAACATATTGCCGTAGAAGATGCCGCACTGCTTGTGGGAGCTAACAGTTTAGTCTATCAAATAACGAAAAGACAGGAATGGAAATTATATTGCTTTTTCATTTATTACAACAAATGTCATACGACACACACGCACGATGTAAACAAAGGCTCAATCAACAAAAACTCAACCCCCAAACACAAGAATGGTAAATTCGTCCCATGCCCTGGATTACAAGCGATGGTGACCACGTAATCAGCCTCTAGCACAGACTGTACTGGAGACCGTTCTTCAAGTACGTTTTCAGTTCGTGAGCAGACGTCACAGTAGTAAATGTTTTGGAGGTCTGAGGAAATCTGGAGTTCTGGCCTCGGGGAACTCTGTGTACTCGCTGCCTAGCAACACTGTTTCTCTGAAATGTTGTGTCGAGCCGAGGTCGTTTGGCGGGAGATTCCTCGTGGCAGACGTTACCAGCAAATGACGACATGGAGAAGTCGAGGACATCCTGGAGCTTCTCTTTGAGTTGGCGGTTCCTCTCTTGGATGTCCTCATCTCTCTTCTTCATCAAGATCATCTTCTCCTGGATGCGACCCAGGCGATCTTGTAGGATCCTGGATCGGATGATGGTGTTCGAGTTGCTCATTACGGGTGACATGGGGGTGTTGATGACCGCCTGGGCTCGTTGTCGGAGTTGCCGGTTCTTCTCCACAAGCTCTTCATCCCTCTTCTTCAGTGGCCGACGCCTCTTATTTAGCAACTCCAGGCGATCCTGTAGATCCTTTGAACGGACAGTGGAGGTGGTGTTGAGAGTAGCAGCAATCTTCCTCTTCCGGCAACAATGGCAATCTGGGATGGAGGCTACATTATCCTCCAACCAGTTGAGCACCTTCCGAGCGGGAGTGGCAGCGGGTATCAATGCAGTGTTGATGGAATCCATTTTTTCGGAGGAAAGGTGAGCGATGCTAACGGGCTGGGCAGATGTGTGATCAGAACAAGCTGAATGAATGACTGAACTGAGTTCACACCTGGAATATATACCCGTCTCCTGGTTGTGAAAACACTGCTTAATTGAAACTGATTCGTGGTACATCATATTCATCTCGGCGGGAAGTCAGTCATTTCGGTATGTCGTCTGTAATCACAGCTCTATCTGGACTTCAAACGACGCGCGAGGCGGGTAATTGTTTTTACAACATTAAAACAAAGCCTAAATTGGCGGGAATGTGCTTCTTTGAAGTGATATACATGATGGCCATTGTGTTTATTTGTCCTGTGTGTGATTGCAATGGCTGATTGAACTTAAATCTATTCCGACACAAAAGAATTTGCAGTCAAGCATTGATTGAGAAAACAGGTGCACAACTGATAATAGCAAAATAGCCATCAACTGGATGGGTGAATAATATTATATTTATTATTAGACCAAGCATTTTCATTCTCTGATTTATTCTAAGTTTCTTTTGATTACTGGTCATTTATATCTTATATGGACATGTTTGACAACTATATATGCGTGACAGTGCTTGTGTAATGAACGTTTCTTAAACTGACTGATTAAGTAAATGTCATGAATATTTGGACATCACATCAATTGGAGCGGCTACCTTTGAACACTTAATCTTATATATTCCTAAGACCCATCCTGGCATGAAACCCAAATCGCACACACCAGTGCCAACATTAACCATTCTGGGAGAGGAAAGAAGGAGCCACAGAAATTCTTGGCTTCAATCTGCTCAGCGTATTCTCCCAAATGAAAAGAGTTCTTTTGTTCTCGGGTAATCCCATCCAGCTGGTCACTCTCACCATCTCACGGGCTTCCTCTTGTTGTTTCCATTGGGTTCTCAATCAGATGAGTGATGTGTTCAATGTATTCTATTGCTTCTTTGTTCATCAAATCTGATCCTGTGTATATATCCCAGTGCGCGAGTGTGTGTATAGACCCGGTCCACGAAAGTGGCTTCCCAGAATTGAACAATAAACTGCCAAGTGATCATGCTCCATGAAAATAGCTAAACTTCGAAATCCTCTGCACTGATATTATAGTTTAATCCATGTTCATGTTGGGCAATACTATTGTTTTATTACACGTTCATGATGTGTAATACTATAGTTTACGTCCACGTTCATATGCATGTTCGGCAATACTATAGTTTTATTCCACGTTCATGATATGGAATACTATTGTTTTAGTTCACGTTCATGTTTGACAGTACTATTGTTTAATTCCACGTTCATGATAAGTAAAACTATAGTTTTAGCCCACGTTCATGTTGGGCAATATTATAGTTTTATTCCACGTTCATGTTGGGCAATATTATAGTTTTATTCCACGTTCATCATGTGTAAAACTATAGTTTTATTCCACGTTCATGATGTGTAATACTATATTTTTATTCCTCGTTCATGTTGGGCAGTACTATTGTTTAATTCCACGTTCATGATGAGTAAAACTATAGTTTTAGTCCACGTTCATGTTGGGCAATATTGAAGTTTTATTCCACGTTTATCATGTGTAAAACTATAGTTTTAGTCCACGTTCATGTTGGGCAATATTATAGTTTTAGTCCACGTTCATGATCATCATTTGTAAAACTATAGTTTTAGTCCACGTTCATGTTCGGCAATACTATTATTTTATTCCACGTTCGTGATGTTTAATACTATAGTTTTGGTCCACGTTGTTATGCATGTTCGGCTATACTATAGTTTTATTCCCCGTTCATGATAAGTAAAACCATAGTATTATTCCACGTTCATGATAAGTAAAACCATAGTTTTAGTCCACGTTCATGTTGGGCAATACTATAATTTTAATCCAACTTCATGTTTGGTTAGGGGCGATCGGGTAGCCTAGTGGTTAAAGCGTTCGCTCGTCACGCCGAAGACACGGGGTCGATTCCCGACATGGGTACAATGTGTGAAGCCCATTTCTGGTGTCCCCCGCCGTGATATTGCTGGAATATTGCTAAAAGCGACGTATACCATACTCACTCATGTTTGGTTATACTATGTTTATCTCCAACTGACGCTGCTGCTGTATAGCTCAACATGTAAATAGCTCATTCACGAAATCAGCTCCAATGGAAGCGTTCGTGAAAAGTTCATATATTCACCTGGTTGCATGATATGATAGTTTAATCAATGTTGGGTAATAGTATAGTTTTAGTCCACGTTCACGTTAGGCAACACTATAGTTTTAATCCATGTTCATGTTGGGCAATATAACGGTTTTAATCAAAGTTAATGTCTTCGTATTCGATATATTGAATGGACATTACCTACTTTGTGTGTGATAATGATGTAAATGGTACAGTAAGTAAATCAGTAAGAGCTGTAACCACGGAATAATCGAACTGATGCGTTCGCATTTGTGAGCAGTGAGATGTCTTCAACTAAGTCTGAGGCGAGAATACAATTTCACAAAATCTTGTTCCGAGGTTTAGATCAAAACCTGGTCCTGGTTCCTTATTAGTTGACGTCAAATTCTGTATGTTCGCCATTTAAGTAGATGATTAAACTAAAATATAAATACAAAACACCTTGCATACGTTTTAATTGCTCAGGAAGGGCCCGATTTTTTACCATCTTAATTCACGTGTTATTTATTTGATCTTCTCCCTTAAAAATAATAATATTTCAATCAGGGGCCTATGATGAAATACGACGGTTACAAAAATATAACTGATTAACCTTGGTTAGAAAATCAAGGAAGTCACTTTGAATAAATACTCCTTAAAATAAAACTACCACCAACCCGCTCCTTCTAGCTGACCTATGGTACACTCACACATGGGTAAGTAAAACAGCTCTTGTAAGTCCAACGTTTGAAACTTAAATCAAGCGTGTATATATGGAACAATTTAACAATTACTGTACGGGATCGACTTTAGATTTTTTAACA